TGAAGACTGCACAAGAAGGGTCAGCTGATGATCCTGAAAAGAAGCAAGAGAGAGACAGTTTCTCTTTAGCAGAAGGCACAGTGGATAAAGACAAGACCATCTTAGAACTATGTGATACACTGTATAAGAAGGAGCAGCCAGTTGTTTCTCCTGATGGTGCTGATAAGCCTCCTTCTGGGAAAGAGGAGAATTTTAGTTCTCCAGAAGACAGAAATGTTGCTGAAACTAAAGAAAAGAGTAATAAGCATCTGAAAACTGAAACTTGTGAGAAAGTACAGGGTAGCTTATCTGATGTTGCTGACTTATTAAAGAAAGAGCACAGTGATGACGCCTCTGAAGATGATAAGAAGCAGAGCAAAAAGGGAACTGAGGGAAAAGAAAAGAAAACTACACATTTGAAGAAAAATGTAATCAAGATGGAACAACAGTATGAATCATCATCTGATGGCACTGAGAAATTACCTGAGGGAGAAAAAATTTGTCGTTTTCCTAAAGGCATAAAACAAAATAAGAATGGCACAACTGATGGGGAAAAGAAAAGTAAAAAGATAAAAGATAAAGCTTCTAAAAAGAAGGATGAATTACTTGCTAATGCAGAGAAGTTACAAGGGAAAAGAGATAGTTGTGATTCTTCAGAAGAAAAAAGGAGTAAGAATGTAGCATCTGTTAGAGAGAAGAAAAGATGCAACTTGCCTGAAAAAAGTTCAAGGAAGAGACAAGATTGTTCATCATCTGATACTGAGAAATATTCCATGAAAACAGATGGTCGTGATTCTTCTGATAAGAAACTGAAAAGAATAGAATTGAGGGAAAGACGAAATTTAAATTCAAAGAGAAATACCAAGGAAGTACAAGGTGACTCATCAGCAGATGCTGAGGAAAGTTCTGAAGATAATAAAAAGCTGAAGAAACAAAGAACTTCAGCTAAAAAGAAGGCAGGCAATGTCAAGGAGAAAATGAGAAATTCCCTAAGAACAAGCACTAAAAGGAAGCAAGCTGACATTACTTCCTCATCTTCTTCTGATATAGGAGATGATGATCGTAATTCTGTAGGCGAGGGGAGCAGTGATGAGCAGAAAATTAAGCCTGTGACTGAAAATTTAGTGCTGTCTTCACATACTGGATTTTGTCAATCTTCAGGTACGCCAAAATAAATAAAATGTAGTTTTTCTTATCCTCTTTTGAATAACTACATTAATTTCCCCAAAGCCTTTCTCTATTTATTTTTATGCTATCATTGGAAGGTTTTTCAAACATTATTAGTATTCTGTATCAGGTACCAAATTTGTTGGGTAAATAACAAAATTTATTTCCCAATGTTTAATGCTTTTTCTCTGAAGTAATGAACAGTAGTTTATGGAGGAAAATCAGACTGGTGCCAGTAGTTCAGTAGGGATTTATTCATGTAATGGAGGTGAGTGCTTGGTACTGGTATAACATGGTGTGTGAATGTTTTAACTGCTTTATCATGCATATGACTTTTTAAATTGGACAGAGTAACTGTGTTCCATGAAATCCTCTGAAAAAATTAGATTTACTTCATTGAAACTCTGCTGATGCTCATCAATTGTTTCTCTAATAACGTGAACAGATGTTTTTGTCTTCAATACTAACAAAATAAAGGAAGAAAGAAATCCAGAAAACTAGATGGGTTACCCTACCCTGATGAGATAGAACACTAGGACAATTAGGGTTTGGGCCAACCTGTCAAAGATATTCCATCCCCGCCCAAAAACATTATGAAAATGATTTTTGTTATTGCTGTTCTTATTAAAATCAGTTGTATAATGAATGTAATCTTGTCATTCATTGTCTTTTTTCTTAAGTCAGTAAAACCTGTCAGTTAATCACAGACACTTGAAATTTGTTTTAAAATTTTTATAAAGTAGATTTTTACTTAAAACTGTGTTTGTGGCACAGGCGGAATATTTAAAAAATTCCTTTCATTCCTTAGGTTAGGATTTTCCATTTATCCCAATTGGGTTTTGGTGGAATTAACTTGAATCTTGCTTTTTAATACAATGTGAAATTCCTGTTATGGAGAACTTATCAAATGAGTTGATTTGAAAATTAAGTGTGACATACATGGTGTACTCAATTTAATGCTCTGCTATATATCATATGCCTAAAGGGAGCTCTGCCTGTATGCTATTGTAACTACAGGTCCCCAATCCCTGAAATTCTTGGGCCTAATGTGTTTCAGAATTATCAACTGTTTGGTTTTCAGAAAGGTAATATAAAGTAGTTACCATGTATTGTAAAATAGCTTCTTCAGGGCCTGAGGCAACACTCCTATAATCAAACACGTTAGTATTTCTGTAGCAAAACATGAATATTCACACTTAGAAGAATAAACGGTTCAGATTAGGTTTTGCTGCCAAATTAACTTTGGCACCACTTTACATAATTTGTACAGTTTGAGAGCGTTTTGGATTTCAGAATTGTGTATAAAAGATTGTGGACTTACATTTAAAACACAATCTAATAGTTACTTAGATATCAAATCAATGTTTTTGTTATCAGGTTAGTTGAGAAAACTCTTCATTAAGGATTGGAGTATATAAGAATAATGAATTACAGTTAGTTATGTGGAATAGTCTCATTAATAAATTCTAGGCTAGTGAACTAATCTTAAACTTTGGAATACTGGTTTCCATAATTAAATATCTTCCCTAGTGAAAGCAACATGTTTAATTAATGTCAAATACTAATTTTCATTTCCCCTAATCTCATTTGATTTGATACATATGAGGATATCTATGATATACCTCTCATGTTTGGAAATATTAATATCTAGTGTAATAAGTAATATGTATTCATCAGATTTTAAGAAGAGATGGCAACTTGTGGCAAATACCCAGAGGGTACATTTCCCAGTAATTCCTTAACCCAGCACTAGTCTATCATTGTGTTCCATTTTGACTTACGTAACTTCAGTTTGAAGGACCAGTGTGCTTATGGGAACCCTGTCTCATGTATATACCCAGAGAAGCCTTGGGAATTCAGCACTTCATCAGATGCCAGTCTCTCAAATATTTGGTGGAACAAGCCTTGTTCAGGTTTAGTTTACCCTGAATATTTCTTGGGACTGATTACTTTAGATGAAAAAAAAAGAAGAAAAATTTGCTAGGGAGTTAACACATCTAAAAATTGGACTTTGTCAATAGAAATACTTAAACAGAAAACAATATGAAGGTTATTGAAAATAAGTACTGTACTGTTTATCAAGGTAAGCTTGGGTGTAACAGTGATAAGTGGCATTCCTTAAGAATTTGCTTGGATGCATATATAAGCATGCTATATTTATGTGTGTAATACATACAGCTTAATTTAGGTGACATTTTAAATGAGCTCTTAAAAAGCTTCCCCTGCTCTCATGAATTTAGATAATTTTATAGTTTATTCAGCAATAGTTGGGTATCCTGTTATGTGGTACAACATTTTCTTAGAACTTGGGGCTAGGGAATGACATGAGGAACCAAAAGTAATAACACGGTTCTCGGAGATTGCAGTCTAATGAACAAGGTAGACATCGATAAATCATTTTTTTTAAAAAAGAATACCAGACGAAAGACATAAAAGTAAAACGGAGCTGTGTGATAAATGAGCCATTTAGTCTAAATATTGGAGGAAGACTTAAAAGAACAGATAGCATTTGAATTCCATTTTGAAGGATGGGGCCAAATTTTAGAAGGTGTAGTAAGGGAAAATGACAGTACTATTACTAGTAATATTTCATTTGAAGATCTGTTCAAATGAGGTATTTATTGTGAGTTTGCTAAGATATTGTAAGATTTATTTTTGCCTTTCAATATTTAGTGTATTTCTATCCTGAACCTGTAGCTGTCTGCATTCTATATGGATTTTTCCCTTCAACGTTTTTCCCAAATATTTTTTTATGAAAAAATTTAAACATACAGAAAAGTTTCTTCTGTTAATATTGTACTGTATTTGCATTATCACCTATCTATATATTCTGTCTGTCCATCAATGTAACTAACTATTTTTGCCCTTTTAAATAGTTTGAAATAATTATAAATTCACAGGAAATTACACAAAAAAAGTGTACAGGGACAACGTGGATACCCCTCATTCAGTTTCCCCTAATGGTAATATCTTGCATAACTATAGTACAGTGTTAAAATCAGGAAACAGAAGATTTATTCAGGTTTCTCCAATTTTACATGTACTCATTCATGTGTGTGTGTGTGTGTGTGTGTGTGTAAAAATATAGTCCTATGCAGTTGTATCATGTGTAGCTTTGTACGAGGTCAAACAATTAAGTTCGCGAAGTTGTTGCAATGATGTTGCTAACCTTTTTTGATATCAGAGGGATTATTCATTATGCATTTATACCAACTGGACAAACAGTTAACCAACTTTACTATTTGGAACTGCTGAAAAGGCTGCATGAAAAGATTAGATGAAAACTACCTGAACTTTTCACTGACAATTTATGGCTCTTGCATCACAACAGTGCACCAGCTCACAGGGCACTGTCTGTGAAGGAGTTTTTAGCCAGGAAACAAATAACTATTGGAACATTCTCCCTACTCACTTGATCTGGCCCCCAGTGACTTCTTTCTTTACCGAAAGATAAAGGAAATATTGAAAGGAAGACAGTTGGATGACCTATGACCTTCAGGACATCATGGGTAATACAATAGCTCTGATGGCCATTCCAAAAAGAGTTCCAAAATGGCTTTTAGGGTGGACTAGGCGCTGGTGTCAGTGCATAGCTTCCCAAGGGGGAGTACTTCAAAGGCAACCATAGTGATATTCAGCATTGAGGTATGTAGCACTTTAAGATGAGTTTGTGAACTTAATTGTCTGACCTCGTAAACCACCACCATAACCAAGATATTGAACTGTTCCAGTACCACAAGCTTTCCTTGTGCTACACCTTATGCACACCCCTTGCTTATCACCAATCTTAACCCCTAGCAACTGTTGATATGATTTTTATCTCAGCTGTTTTGAGACGGAATCATGAAGTATAAAACCTTTTGAGATTGGCTCTTTTCACAGAGTAATGCTCTTGAAATTTTGGTAAATTTCAAAGTAAATAGTAAACAGCAGTGTACTTTTCCTTAATTACTTCAGCATACATAGTTTTAACAAGAATTAAATATTTAAGTTTGTTTTTGAGGTACAATTTTCATACAATGAAATGCACAAATCTTAATTTCTTTGGATTTTTAATCAAAGGATAAAAACGTTGCTTTTTATAAGGAAATATGTTTTACTATACTTGAATGTATCTGATTGTACTCAAGAATACAATACAAATTCAAGTATATTTTGAAATTACTTGGTATTACTAAAATATTGCTAGCATGTTTTCTATTCAGTGATACAGGATAAATTATACATCTGATTTTATTTTATTTTTTTATTAGCTGAGCCATCCTGCCACCTGTTGACAGTTTCAGATGCAGCTCAGTTTGGGCCGGGAATCGAATTAGCGATCCTGTTGCTCAGAGCTTGCACTCTTGAGCGAGCTCTTAACCCACTGAGCCACTCGGCCGGCCCTGTACATCTGTTAACCGTAAACTTAAAACAGATCACTGTAAAGCTTAGTTCAGCAAGAAACTTATGCTAATATGGCAAATGATACAGACTTGTTATCTGAAGGGTGAGCTTCAAAACACTTTGTGCCTTGGGAAGGAACTTTGAAATAAATAAGATCCAACTGGTTTATCACGATACTGCTGGCACTTCTTAAAATCCCCATGGTGCTTTCCTTATAAATTCTTTTAAATCATGTTTTAGATCCCAGAGTACAGAGTAAAACCCAACAGTTGTTTTTGAAGTTTTAGGGTTTTAGTTTTATTTTACATGATTTTACTTACATAGACAATTTAAAGGTAATTTTAAATGTACTTTTTTTTCCCTCAAGGAGATGAAGCCTTATCTAAATCAGTGCCCGTCACAGTGGATGATGACGATGATGACAATGATCCTGAGAATAGGTATGATTCCATCTGGATGGATTTTAAAACATTATAACACATCCCTAGGCATGGGTACAAAGAGTGGTGATGGAACCGTAAACTGGTTGTAAAAACCAGGAGTTACCTGCCTTGGAAAGACTCGCTCAGTATGCTTTCAAGTTTGAAAGGCCATTAAATTTTGGGCTAAATCTCAGAAACCTTAAGAGGAAGTAAATATAAATATGAACACACCTAGCGTAGGATGTGTTATAAATACAGCACTGTAGATTTTATGTTTTCATGTAAACTGATAATTCTGAGATTATTTTAAGTTTCACAGATTATTTTATTGAAGAAAGTAAATCGTACCTCAATAAATTGGTGACAACAAGCATCTCTCCTTAATAGTTGATTATTGTTTTTAATTGCCATCCAGTATGGTGTTTTATTAAAACCTGATCAATATGAAAAAAAGGTATTTAAGATTAAGAAACCACTTTCAAAATTAGTATCAATCTATGTAGTGTCCAGACTGATACAGACTTTAACCATTTTTCAAAGAAAATATAAGTAGACAGTATGATAGTAATAACTTCAATAAGACTTAAACAATAGCTTTAAATGTAAACAGTGTAGCCTTTACAGATTTATTTAACTAAGGGATCTCAAGGAGAAGGAAAAAGTACAAAGGGACACCAGTATCTCAGCAAAGAAGAATAAAGAAAAACAAAGGTATTAAAGAATATAACCGTATGTTTTTGCATATGTTTTAAACCTTTTCTGGACTATGGTGTACCCCACAGACATAATCTTCAACCAAGTGTGGTTTAGTGAATGGAATTTTGGAATAATGGTGATAAGAATATCTGACTTCTAGTTCTAACTTTTCTAACAACCAGCTGTATGACCTTGGGCAAGTGACTTGTCTTTGCCAGAATTTTCTGATCTCTAAAATGAAAGGGTTGGATGAAATTTTCTCTGATTAATTCTGTCACCAAAAATCTATGATAGACTTGATGGTTTTACTAAAGATCACTATATTAACGATCCATTTATTCCCAATAGTAAGCTGTAGTATTAAGAGAATATACATGTAATTTTTGAGTCATAATTTTGTAAGGAATTAACTTTGAATTAGTAAATGCTGTGGGGACAGCTGTTGTTCTAGCTCAGTTTTATATCTTGCTGATGCTGATACGTTTTTCTGTTTCACAGCATTCTCCCAACTAACAGGAGAATGTTTTTA